CTCTGTGCACTCTCTGTACTGTGTCTCCCCCTATTAAACTTGGTGGTGAGTTCAGTTTCCTTGTGTTTGTGATCCCTTCAAAATGTTCCTCTGATGTGGTCTGAGCCCTTTCTTATGCTTTAGGGTACTTATGGAAACCATCGACAAGCCCGCCATCATTCCCTCTGCGCCAGTTTCTGTACCCTTCTTGCTTAGGGGTACGTGAAAACTTTAGGATGTATTCACAAAACTCTAGGAGTTGGAAACTGAAGAGCAGGAAGTTTCCAAGCTTTTCATACTTAGACACAAACTGTTGCTATTCTCTATCCTTATTCCTATAGCCTTTTGCAAATCTGTGAAGATGCACCCTCCTAAAATCATAATGAGCTTATGATTTTTCCTGTTCCCAATAACGGTGACTTGTTATTTGTCATCAATTTTATAATCTGGATATTTGTGTCTCCTCCTAAATTCACATGTTAATATTCTGTCCCTTATGGCTATGGTATTAGACCTTTGGGAGGTGAGTGGGCTTCTGGGAAACAGCCCTCAGAAATGGGATCAGTGTCCTTATAAAGAGGCCTCTGAGAAACTCCAAACCCTTTCTACATTGTTGAGGACACACTGAGAAAATACCTTCTTTGAAGAGTCCAGAGAGTCCTCTACCAGATATTGTGTCTCTAGGTGCCTCAGATCTTAGATTTCCTAGACTCCAGAGTTATGATGAATAAATTTCTGTTGTTTATAAGCTACACAGTTTATGTATAGTGATTTGTTTTAGCAGCATGAACAGACTGACTCAGATTTTCTAAATTTTGAAAGGAAATAAAATTTTGAACCTCTTCTTTGACCAAGATTTCTCTCTTGTCCCTAATTTTCCCAAGTATCTTTTCTTGTGTCTACTTTTTTCTTCCTTTCCTTCTCTGTTGGTCAGGTGGTAGTGCTGGTGGTATTAGAGTTGAAGTGAGGACATGCATCTATGAGCTTTCATTTTCTCTCAGGCTTTTCTGTAAACTGAACTTCAGATTCAGGCTCTGAAGCCAACAATTTGATGTCTTTGTTCCCTAGTTTATTTCTGACAAATACCTCAGGAGTCAAATAAATGACCACTCTATGTTTTAAAAAATTCACAATGGTGAAGTCTGATGGTGGTAGTGGGAAGAGTGGTCACATTAAAGAAAAACACACCTGTTGATATGGCATATCCCATTATATCACTGAAGAGACCTTTATCTGAAGCATAATGCATTACTGTGTATCGTTTATTGCATCTTGGGAAAAAAAGTCACATGTTTAGCTGTTGCAAAATCACTGAGACCTATTTTGTTAATTCCTATATCAATTCTATTAAATGAGGGTGTTTCTAAACAGTGCAAAAGAAATAATAAAAAAAAACAGCAACAACAAAAATACAGACTGACTTTTCCTTGAATTGATTCTGGAGAAGTTTCTTATTTGGAGAGTGGAGAGGATTAGGACAATGCCACAGCCCACAGCCAACATATACATATAGGTGAGCATATATGTTGTGATTAGGGCTGCTGACACTGACATCAAACACCTCTTTTAAAATTCTCCCGTCCCACCTAATAGTTGCATAACTTCTCTTAGTTTCAAAATTCTCATAGATAAAGTGAATATTATCCCAGCATTGTTGGGAACATTGAAAGAGTCATTTCATGTAAAGCAATTAGTTCAGCACCAGGCATATTCAGGCCCTAAGAAAGTGTCCGTTAACATCATTTTTATGTTGTTTATTTTCTCTTCTAGATATCTCACAGGCTGAAACAATAAAATTAAAACTGAATTACCATAAAAGAAAGTAAGCATAGTTGATTTCAAGTAGCTAGTAGTCTCAGGAAGTGGTGTGAACTCCTTCCATGGAGGCTTGAGTTAAGAAGTAAAAAGGCAGCAAAATCCTAAATAGGAGCAAAACTGGTGAAAGAGTGGCTGCTGTTGTGGCAAGAACATTTTGGGAAATCCCAAATATATATGGACCACACAAAGATCATGGTTTAACAGTTTTGTCCCCTCCTTTCTCGGGAACGCTAAATGTACTGGCTAACCATTAAATATCTTGATCCACCCTTTGTGATTGTCTTTTAACTAGAAAAATTATAAACCCTGCTTATCTATTGCAACTTAGAAGGGTCTTTTGTTGGAGATTGCTCATTTTCTTGTGCATTCCTCGTGCCTGTTTTGAAATTAAGATATGAATTCCTGGTAATTAAAGCAAAGTTTTTATTTATATCTCACCACAAAAGAAACGGAACTCCAAGTATCTATTAGATATGTAGTAGCTTTGGGGCCACAGATGAATTGATTATTAAAGGTTTACAGTGCAGTATTGCAGAGATGTGGAAACAAAAACCAAAGAGATGAATTTATAATGAGAGGATGCCTTCTGTTATTCTGGTTGGAATATTCGGGGCTATCTTAAGTAATCCAATACTTGTGTATGGCAAAAAAACTAATGCAATTTTGAAGGAGTCATATGTCTTTGCAAAGCAAACCAGGGATAGCCTTTATTTAAAAAGAAAAAAGATAGTCAAACCACTTGATGATTACAATAATATTCATGACTTGCAGTGCTGACATCCTATAGATAGATGCAGTCTTCAAGTGTGGAAACACTGAGTCATACAGAAGATGAGACGTTTTAATAATGAAAAAAATATTTATGTAGTCAGCAGATTGTCAGTAAAGGTGGTTTAGATTATAAGAGTCACCCAACAGAGACTATGTCAGGTTGCAAATTATTCTAACCACAGAATCATTTGAAAATGAGTAAAGCAAACTTTGAGTGACTTGATACAACCCAGATCCTTTTATTTCTTCTTCTCCCTTCTTCTTTCATCCCCCTCTCTCTCCTTTTGAAATTGGAAAAGTATTGATTATGCTTCTAAACATAATGCCAGTATGCCTAAGGGAAAAAAATAAGGACGGTATCTTTTTTCTTTTTTGCATTTGGGATGTGTTGCCTTTTCTTTTCCCAGTGCACTAATTCGAAATAGAATGTAGAGAGATTTGAAATTCTCTGTGTTGTCTCTTGATCTCATCTTTGCTGTTCCATTTTGTCTGACATCTGAAGGCTTGCATTCAAGGACTAATTGTGTCTGGTTTTGACTTATTTGATAAAATTCTTCTATAAATTGAGATACAAGGAATATTTTAGTAAAAGGTGCAAGATTTATGTGATCTGAAGAGAAACCAGAGTAAGTTGGAGAATATCATGCTAAGCAAAATACGCCAATCCCACAAAACTAAAGGCCGGATGTTTTCTCTAATATGCGGATGCTAATTCACAATAAGGTGGAGGCACTAGGGGAGAATAGCCTTACCTTAGATTAGATAGAGGGAAGTGATGAGAGGGAAGGGGAGAAGATGTAGGGCTAGGAAAAGATAGTAAAATGAAATAGACATTATTACTGTGTGTATATATGTGACTATATGACCAATATGATTCTGCAACATGTACACTCAGAAAAATGAGAAATTATATCCCATCTATGTATGATATATCAAAGTTCATACTGTCATGTATAACTAATTAAAACAAATATAAAAAATTAAAGAAGAAATATTTTAGTAACAATAAACCCCTAAAACCATACTGGGTCATTTAACTCTTTAATTTTTGATGTCCACCCAGATTTATAACAGTTTTGTGTTAAGAGTCAGGAGAGTATCCTGAGACCCTCACACCCACATATCTGCAGTCAAATCCCATTCCTCCCCACTTGTTTCTAAGGCTTCCATTTAGATTTTGATATTTGATTCTAAAGGATTTAAGAGTATTTTGGGGGTCTTCACTCTTCCAAACAACATGCTTTAGATACAAAAATAAGGGGAATTGAAAAGGTGATGGATATGTTAACTAATTTGACTGTGGTAGGTATTTCACAGTATATATGTACATCAAAGCCTTGTGCTACATGCATGCCTTAAATATATACATCTGTACTTGTCAATTATAGTTCAATAAAGCTGGAAAGAAAAATGTAAAACAAAATCTAAATGACTTCAAGTGGATATAAGCTAGGGATGCTATGCTAATTGCTCCTATCAGATATCAGTCAGCTGCATTAAACTTACATCAGAGTCATATTTTCTGGTTTTATTCTTTGATAAACTTTCCAATTTGAGCTATAAGTTGAAATGAATCTATGTTCTCATATCTTCCTTTGGATACTGTTTTTTTGTTTGTTTGTTTTTCACTGACAATTCTAAACTCCATTTTAGCCATAATTTATTTATTTTGAGACTAGGAATTGAATCGAGGGTACTTAAACACAGAGCTACATCCCCAGTCCTTTTTTTGGGTACTTTTTATTTAGAGAGAGGATCTGGCTGAGTTACTAAGAGCCTTATTAAGTTGCTGAGGCTGACTTTGAACTTGAGATCCTCCTACCTCAGCTCCCAAGTTGCTAGGATTACAAAATCTGTGCCATTGCTTTTAGTATAAATTCATATAAATCTGGCTTTTAGCTATAATTTATACTAAATTCATTGTGGAATATATTTCAAAACAATATAATTTGTTTATCATTTTATTCCTGAAGTATCATTTTTTGATAGTGACTAAACTATTAAAATATTGCTAAATATACCCCAAAGTTTGGCTATCATTTTTTTCTTCAAAATATCAGTTCCTTTTGAAATTACAAATAAAATTATTGTTTATGTTTTTGGATATATTATTTACTCAACACCAGGAGAATTAAAAAACCATAGCTAATGTATCTGTCTATATATTTTATAATATATAATATATATTACTATACAATAATATGACACTTATATGACAAAATGACACTTATATAGAATTTTTGTCACATATTGTGTTGGTATGCCTTTTGAAAATTGTGAATAGAAGCCCAGGATTTTCTTAGAGACTAGGTTGTCCTGAGGTCATTTCTCACAGCTGCCTGTATTCTTTTTGGCTTTTATATCCAGTGCATTGCAGGTTGTGCACATTTTTGAGTACAGTGAGTATTCATATCCACATTCTTCTTTTCTAGGTCTGCAGCATCAAGATAAAAGCAAGGAATCACCCTGGTACTGAAGCATCCAGTGTTAGCAAGTCAGGCTGCAGCCTGAATCCAAAGGCCCATTGGAGAAAGAAGCCATTGGGATTTTCCATTCCGCAATGGGACACAAGAAACGTGGAAGGAGAAGCGGAAGTGGCAGGCAGTTTACTTTGGTTTTGAACCTTTTCTGGAGAAAGCAGAGTGGGTCCTAGTCATTGAAGAAAAGCAGTTTTAATTTTTCCCTCATCTGAGCCTTTGTCAACTGTGCAACTCTTCCTTACTTTCTTGCTTTTACCAGTACTTGGGATAGTTTTTGTGTCATTTTTTTTTTCCAACTGGCCACCTTGTCAGGAAAAGATGAACCACAAATGAAAATGTTCATTCTTTCAGGAATACAATTTTGTAGTTCTGTGTGCATCTATTTTTGTAGAAATACAGAAAGTTTGGTTTAGCATTGATGGGCTATTTTGGGGGGATGTATTTTTTTTAATATTGTAACAATTGTTGAGTTCTGTTTAAAGAACTTGATCTCAGAGAAGCACTGGCAAAAATGTTTAAATGCTTATCTTTCAAATGTGTGATATGTTCCTGTCTGTGCTTTCTAGGTTACCTCAAGTGTTCAGTATTTTTCCTTTCAACAAAAGTAGCTATACCACAGCCAAACCAATGCAGTATTGTTTTTACATTAAACCTCAGTGAAGATTTAATTCCATGCTAGCTCACTTAGTTTTGAGTGATATATATAACTTGGAAAGGGAGATTTTTTTTTTTTTGGTCAGGGGGTGGAGCACACTAAAGAAAGAGTATTTCATTACTTTGATTTCTCCCAAAGAGTCCTTAGAAGTTGACTAAGAAGAAAGTTTGCACAAACTTTCAGTTAGATGGAAAGTTTACCTATAGTACACTCCTCTTTTTAGTCCATCCAACTTTGATAAATCAAACCAGAATTTTAATACAACTACTTATACTGGGATAAAATACATTTAACCATGAGATCTGTATGTGCCAGTGACTTATTTTCTGTGTTTCTTATTACTCATTAGTGGCAATTTCAAAAGTTATTTTTAAGTGATTTTTTTTTCCTGGAGTTTGAAGTAATAATATCTAGAAAGATACTAGATATATCACAAAGCCCTGTCTATTTCTGATCATGCCACTCATCATTGCAAATTGGAAAAAAATCTATATGCAATATTTTCAATAGCATTGTGCAAGCCATTTTTTGTTATTGTTCAAATTTAGTTTTGTTTCAATCCTTTTAAAAATTTAGGACAAAATAAAATTTATATTGGGATTATTATGTTGATACCACAGTTACTGAAATTGGGCTAAAATTTTTAAATTTGAGGATTCAATTTGATGTGGCCCTCAGGATCTAACTAAAATTTTAAAGTAAAGATTATCATTATGACACTATTAGAGAAAGATTAGGATTAAGAAGTTGGAAGTTATTGATAATGTAAGGAATTTAAAGACAAAATTCTCTCCTCTTTTCAACTGCTTTCAGGGCTTCATATAAAAAGTCAATGTAATATAGGTGTTTTCATTTGATAAAAAGTTTCTCAAGTTTCTCCTATCTCTCTCTACCAACAAGAAATCACATTTTCAGTGAAGTGATACTAGCATCTTTAGTTGCATTTATAATATGTGTGAATAAACATTGACAAGACAACATGCTTAGGTAGACAGAGTTCTCATATGTAATTTTCAAATATTATCTTGGCTATGTTTTGTGCATTAGTCTTCTTTCCTGATGCATTCTTTGACTTGTAAACCTGTATACTCTTTTGTATTCTCATCACTCCGTATTTTGCTTCTTCTCAACAATATACACAGTTTTACCAATGTGAAGTCCAAACTTGAAGAAACTTCCACTCACTTATAATATAAACTTCACTTTCCAGGGAAGTGGCTTGATTAAACTATGTACATTTTGACCTATAATTTGATTTGATGCAATTTTTTTTTTTTGTAATCTGCCAAATATGTGGAGCACACAGTTTGATGAATCTATACAATTTATTTTGTCTTGAGTTCTCTGAGTTTTCGAAAACAAAGCATTCAGTAGTTCCCATGGGATGACTCACTGGGGATTATTTATTTACCTCCTCTTCCCTTGGAATCTATTAACTTCCTTTGCAATTTCTCTTAGAACAGTGTCATACTTGAACTCATTCAGATCATTCAATTGGATTTTCTCAATTAAGAAGAGGGGAAAAAAGCATTAACTCTTTGCTTCTTTCCTTTGTCTCCATTGAATTGAATTGAAAGAGTAACAACTGGCTTCATCCTGATTTTAGACTTTGTTCTATGTCCCTCTGTTAACTATGGACAAAACATTTCTTGGCTGTGGCGACCTGAGAAAATGAAGAACCCCAATTCTTTTTTACATCAGAAAATTTCCATCAATAAGCTATCTCATTGAGAACAGGATCAGGTATTGTTAGCACACTGCCACCAAATTTGAGTAGAAAGAGGCAGAGCCTACTTACAAATTCTCTTAATTGTTTGGCATCCCTTAGTCCTGCCATGTCACCATTACTACCAGAAGTTATAAAACAGGATAGTTTGTAATTTAGCACAATAATCTGAATTTCCTTTACATTTAACATGCTATCATTTTCTAGGTCTGTTTTTCTCCCATCAAAATGCTACAGTTGAACTTATAGGTTTCTAAATTACTTTACTGAAGGCTATCAGTGGTCTCCCTAACTTGACTTAGACCCTTGAATCTTTTACAAAGGATGCTCCACTGAAACTATCTAAAACTCCTAAGAAGTAAATACTGGAAAATCTTCTCATTTATTCTCAATCTAATCTGTGCTTCCATCACTAAATTGCCAGGAGCTAAGAAACAACATAATGTTGGCAAGTTAGGATCCTAACAAGAGATGTGATGCTTCATTGTTAATTTGAAAAGAGACTGTGCAAACTTTTTAAAAACCAGTATGTTTTCTTAGATCAGCCACCCTCTCTTAACTGTCTGCTTTAATTTTTCTCTTACTCTTTGATCATAAGTTTATTTATATTATGCTAAGCAAAAATGGCCAAGATTGTTCAAAAAATGTACAAAATGAGAATTAGTGAATTGCAAATAATTAAGGAATTGATTTCTTTGACTTTATAACATTTGAAAAGAACTATAGACACTGTTATAAATGATACCCTTAAGGTGGTCATTATTTATTATGCCAATAATGTTTGCCCATTTTTATCCTGAGATTTGCAGAATATGTGACAGAATCTAGTCTTTGAGTTTCTGTCTGGCTTGACATTGTATTTGTAATTTAAAGTTGTAATCTCAACTGTATTTTAAGAAGCTACATTCTATTCCTCAGTGTCCTTTTGTTAAATAGTATTTGCTGAATTAAGCCACTGGGAGCAGTGGCATTAAGTGGTGGAAAAGGAAAGTACACATGTTTGAGTTTTGAGTGGGAGATGAGTAGGGAACAGAATAAGTTAATGGAAGAAAGTTTGGATATTAGGCCATTCTTTGAATTCTGGCTTAGCCACAATGTAATGTGTGATTTGGGACTTCACTTATTTACCTCTTAAGTAAAATGGGATACTGATTCCTAACAGGCTGCAGAAGTGGTAAATCATACATATATAAAAATAAAAGCTGGCTCACATTATGTGCTCAACAAATGACAGCTTCCAAAAAATGTCCATGAGTTGAGTAATTAAGTCATTAAATTGACCTGCCAAATGTCCCTTATCTTTACTTTCCATATGCATTTCTGTGGCAACAAAATAGATACATGACTGCTTTTCTGAAGGCCCAACTTGGAGTTTTCTCACATATTTCAAAATGTTATTCATCTAGGGTCCCTATATATTGCTATCTCCAAAATTAAGAGGACAGTGACATTAAATCATGAAAGTTTATGTTTTTCAGTTATGTTTTGAGTTTATTTGGCACCTGGAATAAGAACGTGTCATCTGAAGTTATCCAAGTTTTTCTTTTTTTTTTTTTTTTTTAATTTGCCTTGGAGGAAAAGTTGCAAAATATGGTGGAAAATATATCCCCCCATGAACTCATGAAAAGGAGGGGGAAAACAACCCTTTACAATCTCAGTCAGCAAATTTATTCTACTTGAGAAAAAAAGAAACAACTTTATTGGAAGCAGATGTTGACACTGTGTCAGTTATTGAAGATGGAAAGAGTTCACTCGAACCATTGCAGTTACAAAGGGTATTGATGGCAGTTAGAATCCCTGTGATGAATCTCCTTCACAGCTGACAGGACAGTAGAAACTATGGGACCAAAATGAAATCAGCCTGCCAATTTTAATGGACAGGACCATAAAGACTCAGATTTTTTTTTCCTCCCAGCAGGATAAAAGATATATATATATATATATATATATCTTTCAGAAAATATAAGACTTGTTTGAGAGAGAAATTATAGTTTACTCTCTAGAAACATTGAAAGGCTTGAGAACTCTTTCAATCCATTATCAAGGCATTAAAAATGTGGCTAAAATGTTTTTAGAAAAATTAGGATCATGTTTTGATCCAAAATTTATGTTGAAAATGAATATATAAGCTATAAAAGAGTTGGGTGACTTTGGTGATGGGGATATAAGTGGCATCTGCAAGGAAACCTCAATCTCAACAGCTTCAAAAGGTTAATGTCTTGGTTATGTGGTCATAGAGAGCAGTCAAAGAACAGATTTTTTTTTAGAAGTTTGCATTAAGAGTTTTCTTTTAGTGGTTTCTGGGGATTTTAAACCTTTAGAGTAGCCATTATTGCTAAATGTCCTAATTTTCTTATTTCCATTGTGCTTTTTTGTTTGCTTGAAAACTATTTTTATGATTTCAAATAATCAAACTAATATTCACTTGAAATCTCAAGATTAATTTGATTTAATAAATTTATGTAAATCTCTTAAAATTCCATGAAATTCTAATACATTTAAGTATCATTCACCAATTCCTTTGTCTAAGGACACCTTCTTGAAAAAGGCAGGTCATCATCAATTATCTTCCTTTTTAACAATTTCTGGACTACTAAATTTAGGTCTAAGAATAATTTTTTTAGAATACAAGACTCTTTAGTTAGTTGTTCGGTATATGCATAAGATGTGAAGGTTTCTATTGATCTCTTTATACTAATAGAGTTGTACATTTTCTATGCTGCGGCTACAGCAAAAGTTAATGGTTATTTACACACTTGATTTAATTTCTTAGGATATGTACAATCTTAAATATTCTATCTGATTTTAAAATATTCCATTCAGTTTTTTTTCAGGATATACAATATAGGGAAATGTTTTCATGTGAATTATTTGTATAATTTTAAAGTGCATATATTTAAAGGGGAAATATGGAGTAAATTTGGTATTGCATAAACATAGGTAAAGTCAAATTTTTCATAGAGGAAAAAAATACACAGTATGCTACACTTTATTTTATTCACTTGATTAGGTAATCTGAAAACTCATAACAAAAATATTATCTTATGGCATTGAAATACATTCAAATCCAGATTTGTTAGTTTTGTCAGAAATTATCCTACCTTAATTATACCTGATTTCAGAGAGAAAAATTAACTAATATTAGTTATGCTGTCATTCTTAATTAACAAAAATATATAATTCATAAAACTCTTGGCTTTATAAAATAATTATGAAATCATATGTTTTGTTTCTTTGTGGGAGGTTGGGGAAGAGACTTTTTCATTTCTATTTGCTCCTTAAATGCAGGACTCATACCTATGTGTCAAAGATATAAAATGATGGAAATTTTTGTAATGAAAACAGATGTCATTATCTTCAATTTGTTCAATAAATAATTTAATGTAAATTTAACGTTTATATTTTAATGTAGTTTTAATGTTGATTTGATCTGAATTTCTTAAGAATTGGCTAAATTCTTTTTTTGTTTCCTTCATTTTTAAACAACTTATAAATATCTTTCAAAATTGCATCATAGGCTTTCAAATTATGAGGTTAATATTTAGAGCCAAGACACTTATATGTTGCAGTGTAGAGTGGTGTAGAAAACAAATGTTTAGATCGGAGCCAACTTTTTCTTCTATCAGACGCAGAGTCTCTGATTTGATATCTAGCTCCTTGATCCACTTTGAGTTAACTTTTGTGCATGGCGAGAGGAGGGGATTCAGTTTCATTTTGTTGCATATGGATTTCCAGTTTTCCCAGCACCATTTGTTGAAGATGCTATCCTCCCTCCATTGCATGCTTTTAGCTCCTTTATCAAATATAAGATAGTTGTAGCTTTGTGGATTAGTCTCTGTGTCCTCTATTCTGTACCATTGGTCCACCCTCCTGTTTTGGTACCAGTACCATGCTGTTTTTGTTCCTATTGCTCTGTAATATAGTTTTAAGTCTGGTATCGCTATACCGCCTGATTCGCACTTCCTGCTTAGAATTGCTTTTGCTATTCTGGGTCTTTTATTTTTCCATATGAATTTCATGATTGCTTTATCCATTTCTACAAGAAATGCTGTTGGGATTTTGATTGGCATTGCATTAAACCTATAGAGAACTTTTGGTAATATCGCCATTTTGATGATGTTAGTTCTGCCTATCCATGAATTGTAGGGTCGGGCTCCAAATTCCTTAATAGGACACCCATAGCACAAAAGTTGATAACAAAAATCAACAAATGGGACTTACTTAAACTGAAAAGTTTTCTCTCAGCAAGAGAAACAATAAAAGAGGTAAATAGGGAGCCTACATCATGGGAACAAATCTTTACTCCTCACACTTCAGATAGAGCCCTAATATCCAGAGTATACAAAGAACTCAAAAAATTAAACAATAAGAAAACAAATAACCCAATCAACAAATGGGCCAAAGACCTGAACAGACACTTCTCAGAGGAGGACATACAATCAATCAACAAGTACATGAAAAAAATGCTCACCATCTCTAGCAGTCAGAGAAATGCAAATCAAAACCACCCTAAGATACCATCTCACTCCAGTAAGATTGGCAGCCATTATGAAGTCAAACAACAACAAGTGCTGGAGAGGATGTGGGGAAAAGGGTACTCTTGTACATTGCTGGTGGGACTGCAAACTGGTGCGGCCAATCTGGAAAGCAGTATGGAGATTCCTGGGAAAGCTGGGAATGGAACCACCATTTGACCCAGCTATTGCCCTTCTTGGACTTTTCCCTGAAGACCTTAAAAGAGCGTACTACAGGGATACTGCTACATCGATGTTCATAGCAGCACAATTCACAATTGCTAGACTGTGGAACCAACCCAGATGCCCTTCAATAGATGAATGGATAAAAAAATGTGGCATTTATACACCATGGAGTATTATACAGCACTAAAAAATGACAAAATCATAGAATTTGCAGGGAAATGGATGGCACTAGAGCAGATTATGCTTAGTGAAGCTAGCCAATCCCTAAAAAACAAATACCAAATGTCTTCTTTGATATAATGAGAGCAACTAAGAACAGAGCAGGGAGGAAGAGCAGGAAGAAAAGATTAACATTAAACAGATACATGAGGTGGGATGGAAAGGGAGAGAAAAGGGAAATTGCATGGTAATGGAGGGAGACCCTCATTGTTATACAAAATTACATATAAGAGGTTGTGAGGGGAATGGGAAAATAAACAAGGAGAGATATGAATTACAGTGGATGGGGTAGAGAGAGAAGATGGGAGGGGAGGGAGGGGGGATGGTAGAGGATAGGAAAGGTAGCAGAATACAACAGTTACTAATAGGGCATTATGTAAAAATGTGGATGTGTAACCGATGTGATTCTGCAATCTGTATTTGGGGTAAAATTGGGAGTTCATAACCAACTTGAATCTAATGTATGAAATATGATATGTCAAGAGCTTTATAATGTTTTGAACAACCAATAAAAAAAAATTAAAAAAAAAAATAAAAATAAAAAAAAAAGAGAGAGAATTTATTTGTAGGTTATTAGTACTGTCCATGTAGAATTACTTGTATTTAAGTAGAAAACTCAAATATTGGTGTACTTTTAATGTATTTGTAAGAGTAAATCTTCTCTGTACTTTAAAAAAAAAAAAAAAAAAAAGAAAACAAATGTTTATAATGAAAGGGAAAGTGGGATGGTTTATGCAAATTATTTAACAGCAGGAATCAAGATTTGTTTTTAAACAGTGCTTCTGAGGTATTCATTTGATCCTTGGAGGGATATTTGTTTGTTTTTCAGTTATTGACACAGACATGCTATAAGTAGTATGAAAAGACAAACTGACAAAAACTTTTCTATGATTCATTGACATTGAACAAGTGCCACAGAAGAATTCTAAGACCTTGTATTTTGAATGAAAGAAGGTGTGGATGTGGGCCCTAGATGGGGCTCCTCTATTTTAGTATTAAGTGAATCTTTAAAGTGAAAATGAAAAAGTCTGGAAATCAATATTTAAATAAGTATACCCTCCAGTATCCCAGTGAAATAATTTACATGGCCATCTTAACTGTCATATAAGGCTTGACTAGCATATAAGGTTCTTATAGCTTTTTTATAAATTTACTAAAAATATTTAAGTTGTCTTAAAACAAGTTTATTATTTTACAATTTGGTGAGTCGAACATTGGCCAAAGTGTTGTCTTGGTGGGCTACAGAGAGCAGGCAGTTTTCCGTCTTGATTCTCCTGGAGAGTTTCCAGATGCTAGAATCCTTAGCACAAGGCCCTCTTCTCCTGCTTCAAAGCCTCACTCCTACCCTCCCTTCTGCCTCCTGCTTAGGTATTTAAGGATCTGTGAGACTATGTTGGCTTCCCCTGTACTATTCAGAGCAATCATCCCATCTCCCAGCCCCTTTTCCTTGTAAGACAACATATTCACAAGTTCTGAAGATTGGGATGTCAATATCATTGGGGTCACTATTACAGTTACTGAACTGAAAGAATTTTGTTTTTTTTTTATCAGCTCTATAAACAGGAGGATTTAATGTTTCACTGCAACTAGCAAGGCACAATGTTTGCAGGGGCATTCATGTTCATCTTCATTCACTTGAACAACTGTATATAAAGGAAACGCCCTTTGCATTTTCAAAAGTTTCAAGTAGTTATTATGGTGATTTGGAATCCAAGGGGTTATGTGGTATTTATGTAAGACAGGCACTTGGGGTTGAAAAGCTGGTCATCTACTGCAGATTCCTCCTAGCTGAAGTGTGTTTTCTCTGGGGACAACCAACTATAACTCAATTGTTTTGCTTCCTTTTTTGGGAACATATGCCCATCCTGTGATGTCCTAAGTCTCCAAGCATCTCATTTGACCTGCCCATACACATTTGACTCAATAGCAACAGATGAACACATTGACGTGGTAAAGCTTTAACACTTCTGTTCAGATTGAATCATTCCATCTGTTATCAGTTAAACAGTGGAAAAACTGTGACAGCAAAGTGAACATGTAATGTGCAAATTAAGTATCCACACTATGCAATGTTACTAATCAATAGACGAGAAGCAAATTTTTGTTAGAAACAACATTCAAACACAATTATTTTACTTTCCATACCAAGTTCGGCTATAGCTGAATGAAGAACACCAGCATTGATCTTTGCTTTGCACTTGTACAGAGACTATTTGTGGAGAGCCAAATATAGCAACAGAGGATTTAGGATCTTGCCAAAAAATACAAAATCTGTTTCCCTTTAAGCGTGATACTCTATCCTTTTTCTTGTGGATCTTGCTAAAAGGAAAATATAGTTTTAAACTACCCCATTCCTTGTGTTGAAAGTTCACTAGTCTTTTTCAAATGAGCTATGTGTGGTTTTGTAGTGGTTTATGTTTCCAAAAGTAAACAGCTACATGAGAAATCTACTCAGTATTATAATTTTTCTTACCAAATGAAATATCTCTAATGGTGGAAGTATTACTTAATTTGTGGTAATCATTGTACAATGAATATATATATTAAATTATCATGTATACCTTGAATATACAGTTTATTTGCTAAATATACTTCATTAAAGCTAGGGAAAAATACTTGTAACTCAAAGAGGAGAGTTAAGAGCAACTAAGAAAATCCCATTTTTGGCAGCTTCAGGAGGAATCAAGGATCACTGGGTAATATTCTGTGTTTCATTTTGAATTGAACCACAATTCCACTTTTTTTTTTTTTAAATTAGCTTCAACTAACAAGGTACCTTCTTTCCTTGTACAACATGGGTGCTTTGTTTTAAGAGTTGATGAGTAGATGGACTAGTCCACATTTCTCTATAATGTAGCTAATGACAATGGCTGTTCTCAGCTTCAGATATATGTATATATCTAAGCAATTTGAAAACAATTTTGCAAACTTCACAAAGAAAAATAGCTTTCTACAATAACATCTTTACCAGACATTTCCTCGGGGGGAGTTTAAACAAACACAAGGCTGTTTGGAAATACTTGGTATATGCAAATATGCAAAATATGTTGCACAGTGCTAACAGCTGTAGGGTGTACTCCCTCATCCCTGAGCAGAATATTTTGGTGGCAGTGGTGGTTATTTTTTCCATCTTTGCTGTTCAAATCCCCCCCCCCCACAGCCGCCCCCCTCATCTCCACCCACTCACTCCTCCACAATCTCCTCCAAAGGCAGGGATTTTCCTCCCACCCAATACAACTATGCTATTTCCAAGAGAATGGTTTCACTAGATTCCCACTGGGAAAGGTGGGTGGTGGCTTGAAGGAACATTTATGAGTTATAAGATGTTGTAAAGGCTGTGCATCAAGGGAACTTGCTTGGACTTGCTTTTGACACCAGCCTCATACACAGACCAGACGGTTAGAAGGCCAGATTCCATTAACGCTTGTCATTGCAAGGGGCAGGAAAGTCCTGTTGTGAGTGGCCTTCCAGCGATGGATG